ACGGCCGAGGTCGTTAACTGATAACACACTCTAACACATAACATCCAGAGTAAGATGCATTTGTTTAAGGAATATTTCTTTATTCACATAATAATTCTTACTGTTTTTTACATAGATCTCCCACTACATTACACTTTTTCCTAAGACATCTGTAGCAGGCCACGAGTACTACCAAGAGGGCCAATGCCAGTTCATAGACTGGAATACCTTCTCGGCTAACGGCGACATCGACCTCGCAAGGTGGTCTATCTCCGCCGAAGTCCTCCGAGAACGAGCAAACCCTTCATGGAGGAATTCGAAATCCAGGCGCGGGCGGTGATCTCGCAGGCAAGCTAGCACATGTCCTCCGGCATATCGGCTCGTTCGACGACACTCTTGCTTCAAGGCTTCGTCAATGCGATTGCCGATGCCATCGAGTTGGGCACAGGCCCCGTTGAGCCACGAGATGTACTCGGCCGCCGACTCTTCAGGATCGCTGTGGACTACTCGAAGCTCCCTGCATACCCAGGCCATTGAGGTACAGCAACTCTTTAAATATGACACAAACCACACCTCGCGGCCTCGGAGCGTTTCCACGGCTTGCTCTTTCTTCACGGCTAGCATGGTTCTCTCGAGTTCCGCCACTTAAAATTTAGTCTTCCAATATTGGATACGACGATCTTGGGTTGCAAGGGCATTCTTGAGACCTGCTAAACATAACGACCACTAAGACAAGCTGGAAACCACTAACCCAACGGAGTTAAAAAGGCTACTCACTTGAGGTGGCTGTCGCCATCTCGACCTCCACATCAAGAGTATGGTCCTCGACGTCGTGTGAGACGTGTGGTTCAAATTCGAGTACCGGAATTATCGCCAGTGACTCGGGCTGCCCGCGCTGCTGGACATCCTCGTCATCAGCATCTCTACAATCGACAAGAAAAACTTCCAAGATCAACATTGAACAAGGGTGGTAATCATATATGCACGAAGGCAACCAGAGTTCAAGATTTACAAATTATAAAAAATACAAGAAGTCCTACTCTTCAAAAAGGGGGAGGACAGACTCCCCCAGGTCACTGACTTCTTCCATCACCTCCTTACGCGTGTCGCTTGCCGCCCCCTGATCCAAGATCTCACGCAGATCGAGTTCAGGGCGCGACAACCTTACACACGCGAGGACGTGACACACCCCGGTGTAGATACCGTTGGACGTCTCCTCCGCGATCCTGGACGTATGCTTGGAGGGGATTTCCCCCATTGCTGTCGCCAGCTCCGCAAGAGAAGAAGTCAACGAGAACTCATCGAGGTTCACCGGGATCGTGGACTTGACGCCGCACTCCTTGGCGAGCTGGTGGAGGCCGGTGTAGGTGACCCGCAGCGAACCACGGATCTCGGAGAGATTGTCTCCAAGTTCCGACATGCGGTCCTCGAGCCCTTTGCTTTGGCGCTCGTTCCCGGCCACAAGCTCCCTCATCTTCGTGAGGTCCTCGCGGGCCTCAGCTAGTTCCCGCACCAACCGCTCGGCAAGCGCGTTTGCCGCTGCCGTCTCCGCCCTCGCCTCTGAGATCTCGCGGCCGATGCCACGAGCACCAGCTTTGAGAAGGCGGCCCATTTCGACTTGGAGCTCCTCCCAGGTGAGGACGGCCTCTGGCAGACTAGGACCCCCAGCGGGATCGCTGATAGGGCCGCTTGGCGTCACCTCCTGACTCCCGACCACGGGCACGACATCTGTCGACACCGTGGTAGGGGATGCGCTGGACGTTCCCCCAGATTTGGCCCGAGCAGCCTTCGCCCGCGCCTCCCTACAAACGACCACGAATCAAAACTCCATTTGAACAGAAGACACGAGAATCCAAAAGTCTGTGTACTAACTTCTCGCCGATCGTCACAATGCTCTGACGTCGCGGAGGTGGAGGAGACGCGTCGGAAGCCTGCAAGACAACCAATGTAGTATGAGAATAAACCTTCCTTGCTACATAACCTAGCGACAAGGTGAAATTACCGAGGGAGTCGCTGCTTTGCGGCGATGTCTGAGCACAGACGAGAACTTCCTCGCCTTGGTCGGAGCTTCGCCACCACTGGTGGTGGCAGCGTCAGACGCCTCCTTGACGACTTTCTCCTTCAGAGATGCCGCCACCTGATGATCCGCGAGCGTTCCGACGACATCAGTCAAAGGAAGGGCCTATGCTAAATCATGTCGTAAGCTGATTTCGAGCAGAGAAGGCGGGACGCTATCGAATGAACTCATATTGATCGCTTCGTCGCGCTCCGTCGCTCCCTTTTCACAAAGGGGCGTGGGGATGTTGCTCACCGTGGTCGGGCCGCTGATCATCACCTGACCAACACGCCGCTCCACGGTTTCGCTGCTCAGACCTGTCAAAAAGGAATCAATTTTTGATAAGTCGAAGAGGAACGCGAGTACAAGCATGTCTAAATGAATGCGAGAAAGATACACCGAGGAGAAACCCGGGTCGCGTCGTCTGGCCTGGAATAGTTATAAGCTGGATGGGCCTGACTTTGGAGCGGCTGGATTCGCCTACCGACGAAGTCTGCAACGACTTCATATCCCGATAAGCCCCGTTCTTGGAGATCATCGATGATGTCGATAAATGATTGGAGAGAGGGGGTCAAGGGGGGCTTGGCGGTCCAGACCGGAATCTTGTCCGGTTGTTCCTCGGGAACAACGAGGACAGGATTTGAATCCTTGATTTCAAGGTAAAACCACCTGTTCCGCCATTTGCTGCGAGAAGATGGACACTGGAAGGGGACATAACGCGACTTCATGCCATCACGAAGTCGGAACCCGACGCAACCGGATACCCTATTGGGTTCCATCTAGCGCAACTCGTAATAAAAGCGAAACAGATTAAGAAAGGGCTCTACCCCAATGTAGGCCTCGCAAAGATGCACAAAGACGCTAAGGAAAGCAATGGAATTGGGGTTCAAGTGCAGAAGAGAAAGCCCATAGAAATTCAAAACCAGTAGAAGGAATTCGGAGGGTGGAGGGAGAAACCCGCAGACAATATAATCTTTGATCGCAACCATGCGACCTAAGATGGGCTGAGGATTAGTACCTCCTGCTTTCCTCTCCGCCTTTTCACGGCCAGGAAGGGCGCCATCCTCCTGGAGCTTCTTCAGGTTTGCGCTGGTGGAAGCCGATTTGCCGAGATCCATCGTTGCTAGAAGATCGCCGGAGATGGACCTAGAGCTGGCGAAGCTAGAGTTCTTTACGGCAGCGGAGAAGGCGAGGAGTGCTAACAGGCGGTGTGTTTGACGGAGTTGGCGGATTTCAAAATGCGCACCCAAAATCCCTTTAAATAGGCGCACCCCCGATGGTGTGAATTCCAAGGAACTGAGAGAAATTCCCGCCGGAAATTTATATGTCCATTACGCGCGGCAGTTTTTGGACTTCAGTTCAAAATTCACTCGTGACCGTTGGGTTTCAAACGGTATGCTCGATTACACATCATCTCCGCGGTTCTTGCACCAGGAATGATAACGTTCTCGACACCCGAAGTCGCGAATGGTCGCACGAGTTCATTTTTTGAGCAGAAGTCGGGGGGCTACTGTCAAGGTTACGGGTCAGGCATACCCCCTACCCTTCGATATACGTTACGTATTGACATGGCATACCCACGCGCACGCGGATATTTCCTTTATGATCTAAGGAAACCTTTCACGAGATCAATAGATGGGAAAAGTCCTTCTCGGACAAGAACTGGGTCACCTACGTATCGTGCTAGGTCTGGTATGTTCGAGTCCCACTCGGAGAGCACCAGACCTGCGATATAAAAGGGACCCCCCGGGGAGGGCATAGATCATCGAATCTCAGTGCCAACATAACCCACACAGCCTACGAAGTCGGAGCCTGCGAGGAGCCAAGTCGTCAAGAGCTAGTCGAATCAGCTCGACTACAATCTCGTCGGATCTGACAAGTTCCATCCTTTCCTTTGTAACCTGTGTTTTCCACCATATAATCCCACATCAACTGGATTAGGGCTATTACCTGTCAAGGGGCCTGAACCAATATAATTCTTGTCTTTTGATTGCTCGATGTCGTACTATGTGGATCCTTGTACCAGCGTACACCAATACCCTCTATATCCGGTCTACGGGTATCACCCGTCGACAAGGAGGGTATCCAAAATTGTAATCGCCGCAACCGCATTCTGCTGTGGGGTGCGAAAAACTGATGTGCCTTCGATGTCTTGTTGTCTGATTAGCTCACGCTCGATGCCCTGATTCCAAAGCACGCTGTCGTCGCTCCTCAGCTTCCCATGTCAATCGCTCGGGCTCCTGCTGCTCATGCAGCAGTCGGGCTTGCTCTTGGGTTTGCCGCTCTTGTTCCAACCGGCGGCGCTTGGCTTCCTATCATGTGCACAGCTCATCGGCCTCGCGTGCCAGACGTTGTTCTTCTGTCTCGTTGTCGGCCATAAAGACGCCAAAAAGAGAGGAGTGTAGTTGTCTTCGTAGTCTTCATCAAGGTCGTCGAAGTTGTTGAAGTCATAGTTGTAGCCGAAGTCGTCATAGTCGAGAATCTCGGTTGGTTGACGGGAGTCGACGCCGGGAGAGCTGAGGTAGCCATCTAGTTCTTCCGTGGAGACAGTCACTACAACAAGAACCCCCCTCTAGCAATACATGCTTGGCAACGCATTAAGCATGCGTTGCCAAAATGCGACCCTAGCAACGCTTAGTAGTGGGTGAGCCCAATTTGCAATAGATAATATGTGTTGCAGAACATGCGTTGCAGAGATTGAGTATCTTGCAACGGCCGAATCCACTTTACAACAGATATCATGCGTTGCAATGGTCTTGATGCCCTGTAAAAACTTTTGGAATAAGCGAACTTATTGTATTTTTTAAAATAATCGAGTGAGATATTTATTTTTCATTTCGGACCTCTAGCGAACTGTTTTTTAAAAGAAATTATCAAGTGAGTTGCTTTTTTTTCCTGTTAAAACTTTTGGACTAAGCATGCTTTTTAAAAAATAATAATAATTGAGCGAGCTGCTGATACCTGATAGGAATAAATTAGGGGGGCAAAGATGCAAACAGAGGATTCGAACCTGGGTCTCAAGGATAGAATGTGCGCAACCCAACCAACTGAGCTAATCACATTTCTTATTAAATGATTTCTTTAGGTGTTTATATCATAACAACTAAAATACGATCTGTGAAATTAGCACTTTAGCAGGCAACCTTAGTCTCCCACTTTCTCTCCTCTCCTCTCGTGTCTCTCACCTCACCCAACACGCACGAGAGCGCCGCCCCATCTTGTTCCCACACCGCATCTCATTTTCTTCTCACGCACTCGCACATCACTGCCACGGCGCACACCGACGGCCAGCGGCGCGTTCTCAGCAGCGGCGGCGGTGAGCCCGCGAGGGGATCGGCCGCGGCAGGCCGGCGACGGGCCGAGGCTGACGACAGCGGGTCAACGGCAAGCACGGTCCTTTTCTTAGCCACTTCTCATAGGTTGATTCCCCATTTGGCCCCAAATCCAGGTCAGTGTCAGATCCAGGTCAATGTCAACTTTTTTTTTAATTATTCAGGTTTGTTGCATCATGAGTCTATCTGATTGAGTTTAATAACACCTGCAGATTTTTCTTGTTCATCCGAACGGATATTTGGAACATAGGTTTTAAACGCATGTGCTTCTAGAGTCATCATCTGTAGATTAACTAGAGGTAATTTATAGTAAGGAATTTAACTTGGAGATGACAGCTTTGACATTAGATTGCTGGATGTTTTTTCTGTAAATTGATTTAACTCTTCTCTATTTTTGCAGAGTAAAAGCTTTTGTTTCAGTGTATAAAGGAGGTCTATTAGGTTGTGACAAAATTAGCTGACACTGATTTTATACTGGTATTTTTCTAATTGCCCTATTTTTGCTACATCATGATCATAAGAGACAATTCCTTGTCATTGTTATTATCTACAAGAACCTGAAATATCAAATTTTTTTATATAGGTCGAAATGGATTTAGAAACCATCAAGATTCTTTTGCGCTACCCTAGAGGTTCTGTTGAGTACTTAGCTGGAGTAGATGGATTTCTTGAATTTGCATATAAAGATAAGTTAGAGGATACAAAGATTTATTGTCCATGTGAAACATGCGTACATACTATGCTACTTTCAAAAAATGATGTCTATGATCATTTGGTGTGCAATGGAATGCTTCAGAGTTATAACCAATGGGATTTTCATGGTGAGTCTTCAGAGGAGCAAATTAGGAACCAACAACCACAGCCTCACAATGAAGACATGCGTGCTAACATGCACGAATTAATTAATGATGCACTTAGGACTGTGTATGACGACATGCCTATGAGTGATTCTGCAGATTCGCCATACACACACACTGATGGACCAAATTTAGAAGCTCAAGCATTTTATGAGTTGGTGAAAGATTCAAAGAAGCCTTTATGGGATGGATGTGAACTATCACACTTATCTCTACTAGTGCTTTTGTTCAATATGAAATCCATGAACAAATGGAGTGATAAATCATTTGGAGATCTACTTGATATTCTTCACATGGCAATTCCAAATGGAAAAGAATTGCCAAAAAACTTTTATGAGGCTAAGAAGGTGGTTTCAAAATTTGGTCTAGATTATCAACAAATTCATGCATGTCCCAATAACTGTCAGCTGTTTTGGAAAGAGAAGGTTAATGATGATTTTTGTTCAACTTGTAAGGCTTCTAGATGGAAAGATAAAAAACCAGAAACCAAGTTAACGAAGAAAGAAAGAAAGAAAGCAACACCAAGCAAAGTCTTACGATATTTTCCAATAAAGGAGAGGCTGAAAAGATTGTTCATGTGTAGAGAAACAGCATCGCTCCCACGTTGGCATGATGAAGAGCGCTTAGTAGAGGATGGTGTGCTTCAACATCCAGCTGATTCTCCGGCATGGAAGAACTTTGATAAAAGATTCAAGCAATTTGCATCTGATTCTCGTAATATACGATTTGGGTTAGCTACAGATGGGTTTAACCCATATGGTATGTTGAGCTCTACCTATAGTTGCTGGCCAGTTGTTTTAGTAATATATAATCTTCCACCATGGCTCTGCATGAAGGAACCTAATCTTCTAATGCCATTAATAATTCCTGGGCCCAAAAGTCCTGGAGATAACATTCATGTTTTCCTCCAGCCGCTTCTAGAAGATTTAAGAGACATATTTGCCAATGGCATTTCCACATATGATGCATTTAGAAATGAAACTTTTAATTTGAGGATAGCTGTACTGTGGACTATAAATGACTTGCCAGCTTTAGGAATGCTTGCTTCACATATGGTGCATGGAGAATTTGCATGCCCGCCTTGTGGTCCAAATGTATGGTCCAAACGTTTGGCACATGGGAAGAAATCTTGTTTTATGGGTCATTGTCGATTTTTGCCACCTAATCATGAATTTCGTTTTGATAGAAATTCTTTTGATGGAACCACAGAGATTAGTACAGAGCCTATGACTTACTATGGGCGTCCGGTATTGGATGAAATAAATTCTATCGGTGATTTTAAGAAGTCAAAAACTTATAAGGCAGTAAGTAGTTTATTCACACTACCTTACTAGGATGTCAATCTTCTTCAGCATAATCTTGATGTGATGCAATATTTATGGTACACTTCTAAATTTAGAAGGAAAGTCAAAGGATAATCTCCAAGCTCGTCTTGATCTCAAGGAAATGAACATTAGAGGGGAGCTCCATCCACAACAAAGAACTTCAAGCAAGTTCTACTTACCACCTGCCAGCTTTACTATGTCCAAAAGTGAGAAGCAATTGTTCTGTAAAGTTCTTAGGGATATAAAAGTTCCTGATGGCTATTCTTCAAACATATCTAGATGTGTGAACTCTGCTGAAGGAAAAATTCATGGGCTCAAAACACATGATTGCCATGTTCTAATGCAACAATTGATGCCAATTGCTTTGAGGGGTATTCTTCCCAATGAAGTCACATCTGTCTTGTTTGACTTATCTGCTTACTTTCGAGGAATATGTTCAAAAGTTCTCCATGTTGATGAGCTTGACCGTTTGGAAGAAGCAATTAAAATCACATTGTGTAGAATGGAAATGATATTTCCTCCTAGATTCTTCACTGTTATGGTTCACTTAGTCGTCCATTTAGCTACTGAATGTAAGATTGTTGGGCCAGTTTGCTATCGATGGATGTACTTTATTGAAAGGTACTAAAAATATATTAGCATACAATTTATAATATTTCTCATATGTCATATGATACAATACTAACTTATTAGTTTTGTGCCTTGTATGTATATTACAGGTACCTAGGTAAATTGAAGTCGTATGTTCGCAACAAAGCGCGTCCAGAAGGTTCAATTGCATAATCATATTTGGCAGATGAGTGCATGGCATTTTGTTCGCGATACTTGGAAGGTTTCCCTACCAAGCATAACATACCATCAAGGAATAATGACAAACCAGATCAATTTGAGACTCCCATGAGTAGGCAAGAATCCACTTTGTTTCCTCTAGTAGGAAAACCATTGGGAAAACCATCGGCGTACTCCTTAACTGATAGAGAGAAATTGCAAGCACATAGATATGTGCTATACAACTGTGATGCTGTAGTGCCATATCTAAAGTACGTATTGTCCTAACATAGCCTTTTTTTTATGTGTTGTAAGTGTTTTGCTTCAAATTTATGTTTATTTGTTTTGCAGAGAACATGCTGCTAATTTGCAAAGGAAGAAACGCAAAAGGCTAACTCCAAAAAACATTGAGAACATGCAAAATGAACAATTCCCTGATTGGTTCAGAGATCATGTAAGTCTCAAAATTTAGGTTTCTCTTTTTCAAATATGAGTACAACTAATACATCTTTTGGTTTGGTGTAGATCTTGCAGTTGGAGAATCAAAGAGGTATCGATAGTATTGATGAGGATATTAGATGGCTGGCACGTGGACCAATTGAGGTAGCAAAACGACATAGAGCATTCAATACCCGTGGGTATAGGTTCATATCAAAGCGTTATGACAGGGTGACTCAAAACAGTGGAGTTGTTGTGACTGCAAAAACATCGAGCTACACGTCCGCCAGTGATACTAACCCTGTCCTTGGTGATATCATGTATTACGGAAGGATACTTAATATAATTGAGTTAGACTACTACGGAAATTTCTCAGTTGTGTTGTTTAAATGTGAATGGGTCGATGTAACTAAAGGAAAAGGAGTGAAAATAGATATGTTTGGCTGCACACTTGTGAATTTCTCAAATAAATTCATACCGGTGAAAAGATTGAGCATGAGCCCTTTGTATTTGCAAATCAAGTCGACCAAGTGTTTTACATTGAAAACCATTTAAATCCAGGGTGGTCTATTGTAAGGAAGATGAAACCTAGAGATGTATTTGAACTGGGCGAAGAATGGAATGATGTGGAATGCGAACCATACCATGTCAATAATCTTGGGGAGCTATTTGACAGTGCACATGATGGTCAGACATGGATTCGAAGAGATATAGAAGGAACAACTGTCAATAACATGGTAACTAATTAAAGGTGAGGTTATGAAGGTTTTTCACTATCTATCTGTCCATTATCAATGATTTCCTTATATTGTTTATATCTTCACTTGGGGAGCACTTTATTTTTATGGCAGTAATTTTGGATGGAGATTTACTGCGATGAAGGCTTCTTCACCACAATAGCTTTTCTGGATGAAAATGTCATTCGTATATTTCCTTGGATTGTCTAAGTGATTGAGCCAGATCGATTCAACTTTTTATTTGCATACATAAGTCCTGTAATAATGTTCTACATTAGTTATATACAGAATTGGTGGTTAGATCTTATTTTTAAATATCTAGGATATCATATTGTTTATATGATGAGAAAAAGGAATGGGCGTTTATAATCTTTGCATCTATTGTGTTCAGTTATTCCATTTCCACCTATATAAATACCTGGAGAAAACTATTTACGTTGTGAATGGAAACTATTTACGTTGTCAATGGCACCTAACGTGAATAAGTAAGTCGAACGGACAACTCCAACATGAAGTGGACATAGCCTGGTGGTACATGGCTTCTTCAGCCGTATCGAAGACTGTAGTTCAAATCCTAACAAATGCGTTTTTTTTCCATTTCTTCTCCAGTGGCGATTCTTAAAATTTTTTCCCTCTCCTTAGCTGGCTAGATAACGAGGAAAACAAATATGCCAGCCTAGATTTTTTTTATTTTTTTTCTAGGGGCGATTCCTAATTTTTTTTCCCTATCCTTCTTAGCTGGCCAGATAATGAGAATTTTTGAACTTTTTATTTTTAATTTTAAAATTAAACTGATCGAAAACTTATTTTTTCAATATAAATATTTTTGGCCACACTAACTATTATTTTAGGACAAAATATGTTACGTCTGGATTTGATCATGCGATCAGTCAGTATGGACCAAGACGACAACGAAAAAACATGTGGTTTTTCGGTCGTGCTAACATAAATTAAATAACAATTATTTAAAGAAAAATTATTTTACATCATGATTTTATACGGCTTGTCCAGACCAGGTCGACAACGAAAAAACAAGTGGTTTATCAGTTTTGCAAACATAATTTAAATAACTATTATTTTATGACCAAAAATATTTTACGTCTCAATGAAAAATTTCATGCGGTCTGTCCACACTGGGTCGACAACGAAATAGCATGTGCCTTTTCGGTCGTGCTAACAGAATTTAAATTTCCATCTTATATAAATACCTCGAGAAGTCTATTTACATTCTCAATTGCAGCTAACGTGAAAAAATAAATAAAGGGGGACATAGCCTAGTGGTACTTAGCTTCTTCTACTGTATTGACAACTCTAGTTCGAGAACTAGCAAATGCATAATCGTTTCATTTCTTCTCTAGTGTCAATTCCTAAAAACTTTTTCCTCTCCTTGAACGGGAAAAAAATTCTGTTGCCCCAGAAATTTTTTAATTTTTTGAACTTTTTTATTTTAAAATTTTAAAAATAAACCATTCAAAAACTTATTTTAAGAATATCCGGATTTCATCCAATCTGTCCGGACCGGGTCGACAACGAAAAAACACATGTTTTTGTCATGCTATGATAAATTAACTAACTACTATTTTAAGACAAAAAAATATTTTACGTACAGATTTCATACGGTCTGTCGGATCGTGTCGACAATGAAAAAACACGTGGTTTTTGTTGTCCTAAAAAATTAAACCACTGTTATTTAATTATATATATTTTTCATGTGGTCTATCCGGAACGGGTCGACAATGAAATAACACGTGATTTTTTTGGTCGTGCTAACATTTTTTAAATAACTATATTTTAAGACCAAAAATATATTGCATCTCTTTTCCATGCGGTTTGTCCGGACCGGGTCGACAATGAAATAACACATGAATTTTTTGTCGTGCTAACATTTTTAATTAACTATATTTTAAGACCTAAAATATATTATGCCACTTTTTCATGCAGTCTATCCGGACCAGGTCGACAACGGAAAAACACGTGTCTTTTCGGTCATTCTAATATAAATTAAATAAGTACTATTTTAAGACAAAAATATGTTACTTCCGAATTTCATCCCGTATGTTCGGACCGGGTCAACAATTTTTTTTGGTCGTTATAAATTAACTAACTACTATTTTAACACAAATTTTACGTCCAGATTTCATATGGTCTGTCTGGACCGGGTCGACAACGAAAAAACACGTGGTATTTTTGTCCTAAAATATTAAATCACTGTTATTTAATTATATATATATATATATATTCATGCGGTCTGTCCGGACCGGGTCGACAACGAAAAACACGTGTTTTTTATCGTGCTAACATTTTTTAAATAACTATATTTTAGGACAAAAATATATTACATGTCTTTTTCATGCGGTCTGTCCGGACCGGATTGGCAATGGAAAAACACGTGTCTTTTCAGTCGTGCTTAGATAAATTAAATAACTAACCAAAATATGTTACGTCCGAATTTCATCCAGTCTGTCCGGACCGGGCCGACAATGAAAAAACACTTGTTTTTTGGTCGTGCTAAAAAAATTAAATCACTGTTATTTAATTATATATAATTTTTCATGCGGTCTGTCCGGACAAGATCGACAATGAAATAACATGTGATTTTTTGATTGTGCTAATATAATTTAAATAACTAGTTTGACGGACAAATCAACCCCAAATCGATCTGAATTTAGCAATTTATGCCTCTCCGAAAATTATTTTCTTCTCCCTCCACTCTTTCCCTCCTTTTTTTTTTGCTCCCGCAATTTTTTTCTGTTTTCTTTTTTTTGCCGCCAACTTTTTTTTTTGCCCCCACCTTCCCCATCGAGAAAAGCAAGCCAACTGCCCCTAAAAATCTCTTTCCTCTATCCTGACTCCCTGAGTAAATCTCTTTCCTCTGTTGTGGGATTCCCCTTTCCTACGAACTCTCCTGTCGTTCTACGGTTCTCCTCCTCGTCTTCATCGGTGTTGATCTGTAGGTAAGATGCCGGGCGCTTTACTGACCCACCGCCCCAAGCAGGCGCTCCTAGATCTTCCACCGCTCCGCTCCGTCGGCTGCTGTACCAGCCATCACTGCTGCCGCACCTTCCTGCCGATTAACAGCCACGAGCAGGCGACCCCCATGCCCCATGGATGATGTAGGGCATGCGGCGGGCCGGAGACGCCCCCAGCCGATGTGCCGGGTGACCGGGGCACTGCAATTGATGCGGGTTATACCTCCCGACACCGGCTGTCCACTTCGCTCTGCTCCACGCTGCGCGGCTGGCGGCAATGTTTCCAAGCCCCGGAATCTCTGCCTCCCTCTGCACATCTTACTACCTCTCTGAGTCGCCAAATTGCAATGGAGGCTAATTCCCTTCCAGGACTACAATACTTACCAATTTGATATGTTGTATTTTCAGGTTTGGAGTCAGATGCACTGACCGTCCATAGCTGAAGGAGCCTGGTCTACGTACAGCTAGGCTTCACACAACTGTAAGCAATAAATATGTGATCTAGTTTTACCTTGCAGCCAATTAAATTTTGTTATTTCTACCCATTACTTGTTTCAAATTGTTGGCCTATAAAATGGACAAATGAATTAGTGAGTATGACAAACAGATCCATATTATAGCATTACTTTTGGGACAACAGTACTCTGTTGTTCTTCAAAAACAAATCCAAAATGGCTCAGGGTATAATCAATTCTGAAATTATTCTTTTTGAAACTATGTACAGCACAGTCCTACTTCTGAAATGAGAATGATATACTTTCGATGCCATAAATGACAGATAGGTTTTTTTTGGGTGCAAGAGATATGGCAAGGAGTAGAAAAAGGCGTATTGTTCAGAGCAATGAGGAATATTTGTCAGAGGAACAGACTGAAGAAGAAAATACCCTTCCACAGCTTGCCACACCATCTGAACAAAAAACTGTATGTGATGATTCTGGAGAAGGCAATGAAGACACTGATGACGATTTTAATATCAATGATGGAGAAGGCAATGAAGACACTAATGACGATGTTGATATTGATGATGAAGGCAATGAAGATACTGATGTTGATATTAATGTTCGAGGTAACTGCTAAGTTTAATAGTCCTAATGGTAACAAATAATGACATTATTACTCGTATCCCTGATTACTAAGGATCACTTTTGTCTTCGCAATTTAACACCGAACAGTTGAAAATGGAGCACCTGAAACACGTGGCAAGACAAAACTGAAAGATGTTTGGAACCTTCCGAAAGGGCTTAGAATTGTGGTACAATGCAATGATCTCAATCAGGCGGTAGGGGAAGAAGATGGAATTTTGGGTAAATTTCTTGGAATGATATCTAGGAATGGTAGTCTGTGTAGCTTAGGCTACACAGACTGGAGATATGTAATAGGAAAGAGAGAGAAAAATACAAATGAACTAAAAGTTAAAAAGGACATACTTAAGCAAGTAAAGGTAATTCCTTTTCAGATCAACATTTTTGCTAACTTCTTGTATTATGTTATGCATATCCCCATATGGCCATATGAGTTTCTGTGTTGCTATATGTAGATGAGATTCCTTTATGCTCCTCGGATGGAAGAGTTCATATTAAAAAAAATTGGAGAAAGATGGCGGCAATATAAAGCAAAACTAAAAGATTTGTATTTTGATGTGAATGAGACTAAGGAAGCTAATTGCAACAATGTCCCAGAAGGTGTGCTTTCTGACCAGTGGATTGCTCTTGTCAATCATTGGATGAACGAGAAATCGAAGGTACATATACCATATTCATTTCTGTAATGGTCTTACAAATTAGAACTCTGTACTAAACAAAACAATGCAATATTCTTTTTTGATTGCTAACTCTACGAGACCATAACAGAGAATAAGTGAGCAGAATAAGAAAAACTGCCAAAAGAAGAAGGCAATTCACACAGCAGGGACAAAGAGTTTTGCTCGCACAAGAGAAGAGATGGTAAAACATGTCTTGAATAGTATTCATCTATTTCCATTTCAAGCATGTATAGCTACTATTAGGACTTTACTGATTTGGTCATGTGTTCCATAGAGACAAAAAGATCCTGCAAAGAAGAACCCACATAGAGCTGTTGTTTATGTCCACACACACAAGCGCAAAAGTGACAAGAATATAAATGGGCATGTGGTATACTATTAACACTCAACCATAGATATTTTTCAGTTATTCTCATATGTTGTTTTATTCGTATTAATTTTTCATATGTTTAGGATAATTTGAAGAGACTTATAGCTGAACAACCAGCTTTAGCGGATGCTAGTAAAGGAAAGACTGCTTGGAAAGGAGATGCATTGAACCAAATACTAGGAGATGACAAGCCTGGGCGTGTGCATGGTCTTGGACTAGTTCCAAAGCCTAAACAAGTGCTTGATGTGCCAACT